TTTATTGCTTACATACATGGCTAAGGATGCATTAGTTCCAATGACCAGAGTATTTTATAGGCTCATAGATTTTGATGTTGATATTTTTGGTTGTCAACCAAATTCCTAAATATTTAACTTTTTTATGAATCTCTATTTCTATATTTTGCTGTAATTCTCCCCCCCCCCCCTTTTCTGGTACATTTTTCACTTTCAGCTTTGTCTTAGTTTTATTCAACTTAGAAGCTGCCACCTGCCCAAAGTTCTGTGTTTTTCTAGGACTTTCAGCAGAGAGTTCTTAGGGTCCTCCACTGTTATTACAAGATCATCCTCATATGCTTTTAATTTATATGTCCCCCCCACACACCATGATTCCTCTGATGGATTCATCTGCCCTAATATTTCTCATCAAAACTTCTAAAACCAAAATAAATAATAGAGGTGATAGCGGACATCCCTGTCTTGTTCCTTTTTGAATCTTGCAATTGTCAGTCACCACCTGATTGGCAATTAGTTTGGCTTTTTGCCTGGTATGACTCAACAATGGGCCTTGAGCCAGTGTGGTGTAGTGATTAAGAGCGGTGGACTTGTAATCTGGTGAACGGGTTCGCTTCCCCGCTCCTCCACATGCAGCTGCTGGGTGACCTTGGGCTAGTCACACTTCTTTGAAGTCTCTCAGCCTCACTCACCTCATAGAGTGTTTGTTGTGGGGGAGGAAGGGAAAGGAGAATGTTAGCCACTTTGAGACTCCTTCGGGTAGTGATAAAGCGGGATATCAAATCCAAACTCTTCTTCTTCTTCAGATCAGGGAGAATTGGGCTTCCCTGTCAACTCCTTCCCAAGTTGCTTAGGGGGTAGTAGAGGGGTCCCTAGAGAGCCCTTGATAAACCCTCTCTTCTCCTCACCCCTTGGACCCTACTATGACAACACCCCCATTCACTAGGGACTCTGGGAAATTTTGGCTACAGTCACACAACAGGTTATTCTGTTTCCCTGATGTTTCCCTGTTAATTTCTGTGTTATATTTGAGCTTTCAAGAGATTTAAAAAGCCACTTCTGGAAATCTAGTGGAATCAAGTTTAGTGCTCAGTTCTGCTTTAATTAGTTCCAGAAATAGTCTGTTTGCAACCCCGCCAATCCAGAAAACTGTGGGATGAAATTGGGGGTAAACATATCAGCATGAAGTTCTTTTCTGTCTTTTTTCCATGGGGTGTGCAGAAAAGGATGGAGGAGCAATGATGCTGTTCAATGGCACACCCACCGGCGTGAATGAAATTCAGTGTGACGTGCCAGTAAATCAATCAAAAAGCCGCAGCTCAATAAGGTAACAGGTACTGAATTTTTAAGGGAACATTAGAAAAGTGTTAGCATGATGATCAGGAAAAGCAACACAGTATTCGCTCCATCTTAAACGCACTCACAGTTTCTCAAGAAAACTGAAGTTCTTACTATGGAGCTTATCGAAGAAAAGATTGCTTACTTCATAATGTCACTGAGCATGATGTGTAGGACAAGTTTATGTTGAAGGGAAAGAGACTCTGTTTTGGCCAGCAGGTAATGGTTTTTTTCTCCTGCCTTGTGCCTCCCTCCAGCTCCAAGAGCCTTCAAAATAGAGCTGTTCCCAGAGGAAGAACTGAGACTCTTTGCCATCAGAGAAGGTGGTTGGTTTCACCTGTGCTGCCTCACCTCCAGCCCCAGGAATCTTCAAAAGGGAGTTGTTGTCATGGACATTATTAGGTGTATGTGTATTTTAATGAGTTGAAGAAAGATTGGGAGTCTCAGGGTGTGTGGAGAGTATGTACATGAATTCAGCTGTTCTTGATTTAACTTTTGGTTGCCATTTTGCTAATGATGTTAATATTGCTTTATAGATTACAAATGCTGTATAGATTTGTTAATCATATAATATGACTCTTGCCGTCTAGATTTGTTAATCGTATGCTATCATTTGCTTTAATTGTGATGTTTAGCTTATTTTTGCAGTCATTGTTAACAACTGGATTTGTTTCACTGATGCTCCGCTGATTATTCTATATGATTTATGCTGCATTTGTTATGTCCTATCATGTTTTTGTTATTTACTGTTCGTCAGCTGCTTTGGAATTCGTCTGAATGAAAGGAGGCAAAGAAATATCGTATTGGCCTGAATATAAGCCTCACTTTTTAACCAAATTCTCACCGTGAAAAGTTAAAGTTTGGCTTGTATTCGTGACCTTATGGTATGCAGCCAGGAGCAGCGAGGAATGGAGTGGCTTATATTCTGGTATTTTTTCTCCCCCCCACTTCCAATTTTAAAGGTGTGGCTTATATTCGGGTGCGGCTTATATACAGGCCAACACGGTACTATAAATCAATCATGTTCACTTAGTCACGCTCACTAATTTAAATGGGTCTACTCTGAACAAATCTTAGTTGATTACCACCCTTTGTCACCATCTCTAAAGTCAAGGAAGTTACTTGATAGAGGCGGAGGGCTGGCTGGGGGCACATCAAATGCACACCGGCCTCCTATTTCCCATGATGGCCCTGGAGCTCAGCTACCATTTGAACAGGAAAAGAAAGCACAGTTAAGTCTTTATGCAGAGAGCCAACGGAACCTCACTGTGGCTGTGCAAGAGGCAGCAGGGGGTGGTGGTTAGAGGGTTGGACTAGAACCAGGGATGCTCAAGCTCATCTGTGGAGCTCACTGGGGCCAGTCAATTAGTCACAGTCCAACATACCTCCTAGGGATGCTGTTAGTTGGAAATGTGGTGACTATGGAAGAACCACAGATGCCACCCTCATCTTCCTGGGCAAAGGATGCTATAATAATAATAATGTTAGTCTACGCCTTTGACCTCCTCTGCACTCTTAAGAAGTGAGGCTTTAATGTGCATACTACAATATTAAGACTGCATTATTGAGAATAGGCTTACACACACAATCTCTCTCACCCCTTTCGAACCAAGTCACTCCACAGATTTATTATCCCCACTGAGTTATTGATAATGCTGCTTTGTATCAGGAGCAGGAGCATTTAAGAGGACTCTGCAGAATTCAGCGTGTTTATTATTCAGTGTTTGCATGCATAATCTTCTAAAAGCATGGCAGATTAGGGGTGTATTACTAAATACAAAGCCAAATATCCCCCCTTCTTAATCCATTTATGTGTAACACATTTGTTAGTTAAGCCACTTATTACCACTTTCTGACATTTTCAACCACAATGCAGCATCTTGCATAGAAGCCTAGTAACAGGAGTCTGATTATGTTGGGAGTTTTTTTTTTCTTTCTGATGCTGACTTACATATTGGCACTTGAATGGGAATAAAAAGGCACACGCACACACAGAGAGAGACCAGTGTACTTTTAACAAATGAAACAAGCTTAACCTAAAAAGCCCTTATTCTTGCCTTTTATTTCATCAAATGTAACAGGATTTATTTCAATTAATATTCTAATTGCTCAACACTCGAGGAAAAATAAAATAAAACAGGGCTGGAAACTTTCATTAATTTTTCAGCAAATCGATTCAATCCCGTGTAATTAATAACTGGGAATAGTAAGATTTGTTGTGAGCTATTCCTATTTCCGGTGACTGAATAAATGAATAATGTTGATATAGAGATATTATTAACACAACAGATTTTGTTGTTGTTGCTGTTGATGATGATGATGATGATGTGCAGGTTGGCCCCTCTTAGCTGCCACCAATTCAGTTTTCTGGCTATGAACTGGCTAAATTGAGGCATTAGCTATAGAATGAGAACAGAGAGCCTGAGCAAAGCTGCACGGAAGGTAATGTTGGAAACAGCAAACCTACAACTGTCCACCCAAGCACTGAATTAGGAAGCCTGATCATCTAAGTAGGCATAGCTGGAGGGTGAACGAAGAGTTTAGGCTCACTACTAGCCATGTTGGCTATGGTCTGCCTCCTTGGTCAGAGGTATTATGCTTCTGCGTACCAGTTGTTAGAAAACACAGGAGGGAAGAGTGCTGTTGGTGCCATATGCATGGGAATTATCAGATGTACAAGCATCCTCTTTAGAGGCAGTGTGGTGTAGTGGTTAAGACCGGTAGATTCGTAATCTGGTGAACCAGGTTCGATTCCCCACTCCTCCACATGCAGCTGCTGGGTGACCTTGGGCTAGTCACACTTCTCTGAAGTCTCTCAGCCTCACTCACCTCACATAATGTTTGTTGTGGGGCAGGAAGGGAAAAGGAGATCGTTAGCTGCTTTGAGACTCCTTAGGGTAGTGATAAAGTGGGATATCAAATCCAAACTCTTCTTCTTCATCTGGCTGGCCATTGTGGGAAAGACCACATGGACCTCTGGACTGAGCAGGGCTCGTCTTAAGTAGGTTAGGCCCCATCTGTACTCTACATTTAAAGCAGTACCATATCCCCCAAAGAGCCCTGGAAACTGTAGTTCGTTAGAGCTGATGAGAGTTGTTAGGAGACTCCTTATTTCCCTCACAGAGCTACAGTTCTTCAATCCCTCTTCGCAGAAATGTACAAAAAATGTAGCTGTGTGAGGGGAATAGGGGGATTCTAACAGCTCTCCGTGGGGACGTGGGTGGTGCTGTGGTCTTAACTACTGAGCCTAGGGCTTGCTGATCAGAAGGTTGGCGGTTCAAATCCCCACAACAGGGTGAGCTCCCGTTGCTCAGTGCCTGCTCCTGCCAACCTAGCAGTTTGAAAGCACGTCAAAAGTGCAAGTAGATAAATAGGTACCGCTCTGGCGGGAAGGTGAACAGCATTTCCATGTGCTGCTCTGGTTTCACCAGAAGCGGCTTAGTCGTGCTGGCCACATGACCCGGAAAAACTGTCTGTGGACAAACGTCGGCTCCCTCGGTCAGTAAAGAGAGATGAGCGCCGCAACCCCAGAGTCGTTTGCGACTGGACTTAACTGTCAGGGGTCCTTTACCTTTAACAGCTCTCTGAACCCTTAGCAAACTAGGGTTCTTTGGGAATTCTTTGACTGTTTGAAGTGGAATGATACTGCTTTAAATGTATACTACAGATGGCACCTTAGGCTGAGATATGATGGCTTGCTGAAGGACTTAGTGTTACAGATGATGCAGATTTAAACGTGGGATGTGATGGTCCAAGTCAAACATTATCCATATTTAAGTGGTTGCAATCAGAAAAGATGTATGGGTGGGTAATGTTGATCATATACTCAAGAGAAACAAAAGAGGAAGGGGCCTCTTACCTAGTTTGTTTTAAAACATGTGGGTATTTTTTGGATAGCTGCAAGAATTTGCAATTTTCAAATTTATTTTCAGTAATAATGATGTTTATTGCAGGACATGTTTCCCCCCCTCTCTTACAGTTTCACGGGCATGACATGTTATTTTCTCTCCCTAATAACAAAATTGCCATATTTATTACATGGTGGGTTATTCTGACCTGGTTCAGAAACATGATAAATAATCAACTCAATGAGATATTGTTAGCAGATCGAGAGAGACATCCAAGCTTCTCTTGTCAGGGTGAGACTAAACTGCAGAAAATGTGGACGGCCAAATGTCATACAGCATTCATCACTTGCAAGGTAACTGACTTCTTCTGAATTCACTCAGGCAGAAAGTGAACAGCTGTCAATGCTGATCAAGGAGAAGGGAAATACAGCTTCCAGGGATGAGATTCCTCCCCCCGCTTTGTTTTCAACATCTTTAGTTAAAACAACGTTATTTAGCCACTAAAAAAATTGGAAAGTAACTACTACAAAAGTCTAGACCAGCGGTTCTCAACCTGTGGGTCCCCAGATGTTGTTGGACTACAACTCCCATCATCCCTGATCTCTGGCCTTGTTAGCTAGGGATGATGGGAGTTGTAGTCCAATAACATCTGGGGACCCATAGGTTGAGAAAGGCTGGTCTAGACACTGAAAATCTTTTGGTTTGTCTATTCAGTGTAGCCTAAATATTTGGCCTGAAACAGACATCACACTCAACCATGGTTTGCTCTCCTTAAGCAGAGTTTAGATAATAACACATAATGTCTGTATTTACACAACACAACAAGCCAGAGTTGCTGGGCTTGTTGTGATTTATGGGAAGGGTAGGGAACATTTTTCAGCCTGTGGACCATGTTGCCTTCTGGGCAACTTTCTGAGGGGCACATAGTGCTGGATGGGGCCAGATGCAAACATGGACAGAACACCAAATTTAAAGTCTGCCTTGGTAAAGGTAAAGGTAAAGGGACCCCTGACCATTAGGTCCAGTCGTGATGGACTCTGGGGTTGCGGCGCTCATCTCGCTTTATTGGCCAAGGGAACCGGCGTACTGCTTCCGGGTCATGTGGTAGGCTAATTTATACACTGTCAACACCCCCCACCCCCAATCTATCATCTAACTAGAAAAACAAGAGGCACAATCAGATTTCAAGAACACATTTCAGGTGGGCAAAAACACCTGGCGTGAGAAGCAGGGTCTGACTGATCAGGAATCAGCTGTGTGCTGGTACACCCTGGCTGATCATACAGTACCTTGCGCCACCAAATTTGCTTATATCTACTTTAGACCCAGCTACCTAACTTGATCTTAATTTTCCTATTACAGAAGTGGAGCTAACAGGGAAGAGGGAAGGAAGACTTCCCTGAAGTTACTAGGTACTGTGAAATCATGTCACCGTTAAGTTACTGTAAGAGAAAACCAGAAGCTGATTTCAGTTAAATTGCGGGCTTGGTGCAAGCAGGGGGTTTGTTGCTGCCATTATTCAAAGCTTGAAGTTCCACCGACCTCTGGAGGTCAGGAGGAAGAGCTTTCTGTAAAATCAGAACCGAAAAAGAGAGAGAGAAGAGCAATTAAAAAGACCCGCAGAGACAGAAGCACATCAAGGAGAGACAAAGGGTAGCAATTTGTGTGGAATGGAGTAGAGGCAAAGAGCTTCAGGAACGGAAATGGAATTCTGGGAGGTTTGCTTTGGCAGTGATGACATAGGAGATCTCAGTTGAGCACATCATTATCCAGAGCAATGCTTTCCTCCCTGCTGGTGCTCAAAAGAACAGAAGGAAAAGAAACACCTGAAAGGGGTTGGGGGAAGGATACATCAAAGAGTGCCAGAAAAACCCCTGATATGTTCATTTTCACAGAACTGTAAAACTATTTCCCCCCTTCTCTCCCTGGCAGAAACAACATGTTGACTCAGAAGCAAGTCCTACTGATTTCAATGAGGCTTACTCCTGTGTAACTGGGTATCTGCCTGCAGCCTGAACAACTTAAAAGTTATTTCCAGGAAAGCCACAAAAGTATGTCTTGGTTCCTTCCCACCTCCAGTGCCCAGCATTTTGAGACAATTTATTCAAACCATATGAGCAAACAACATTCAGCAATACTAAACCACCTTGCTGCTGTTTGCCTGCCATGTTACGCTCTCGTCTATTTAATTCCTTTCCCAGAGTCAATTATTTGATGTAATAAAAATAAATGTCACTGCAATTATATGATGTGACTGCAGAATCTCCGTAATGGAATATATTTTAATGCGATGTAAATCAACCAAGCCTTATATAATCTGCAAATTAGCCTGATGCAACACTTAACAAAAGCTGTGATAGGCGAGTGGAATACATTAGATCAATTGAGGTGATTTCCTGAAGGACCTGATTTGGAGAAGATGGGTTGCATCCTGAGCTGGCCTTCTGGGAACAGAAGTGTCCTTTCCTTCCCAGAAGGTGGTGAAGATACCAAGGGACGGCCCAGTTAGAGGAAGGGTGGGGAGCCAGTAACCCTCCAAATGTTGCTGACCTACAACTCCAACCATCCCTGATCATTAGCTGTGCTGAAGTTCAACAAAGTATGGTGGGTCACAGGTTTTCAGCAAATTCCCCCTGCAGTCCACATTCTGGATGGTTCGCCAACCCTCCAGAGCAACACTGTCTTCCCACTTTCTCCAGTGGGATCTCACAGGAATTCTGCTGTGTATAAGACCACAATAATCAGGATCAGGGCCCATTAATCCAGCATCCTATTCTCACAATGGCTAACCAGACGCTCATGGGAAGCCCATAAACAGAATCTGAGCACAACGCCACTATCTGTCATGGACTGGCTGGACTCAGAGGAATGGTTGGAGGCACCAGCTGTGGAACCACCAAGGGATGAAGGTTCAGAGCCTGGATATTGGTGGTAGGACGACAATGAGTGGTCAAAGGAAGAAGAGAGAGAAGCCTGGGAGGAGGAGGTGTTGGAAGCTGGAAAGGTAACAGAGTTGTATTGATCAGGGAGAGTCTGCAGCAGACAGAAGTCCAGAATTAGAAGCAGACGTAGAAGCAGGAGAGGAAGAGGCCCAAGAGGCAGAGATGAATCCAGCTGGTGAAGAAGCCAGGGTCTCTCCCCCTCCTGGTGTGACAAGCTCTCATCCTCACGATTCTCCCAGGGTCAGAAGAGGTATGAAGAGGGAGCAGCAAAGACAGGTGTGCCAGCATAGTCTCAGATTGCTTGGGAAGGAGGAGGAGGAGGCGAAGACTTAGGCAGCTGTGGAAGGTGGAGACCTTCAGCCCCCACAACTGCCTCAAGGGGCAAGATCTACCGAGAAGAGTTGCTGTACTCATTAGGCCCGGCACTACTGAGCAGACCTTGTTTCTTTTAATAAAGAGTTAACTTCTCTTACTCCTCGTGATTTATTGCCGTCTGGCTCCCTCACACTCTCATACAGCTGCCTTTTCAGATAGTGAAGGAAGCAACGGATAACTGAAACAGAAGCTATCACTAACTCGTAGAAAGGAAGGCTAAATCAAATGTTTCTTCTGCCATTCCTGATTAAAGTAACACATCGTAACCAAAACAGTCTCACAAAAACAAGCGTGTTCCATCGGTTAGGAGTTGCCATTTCTGATTAACATTGGACTCCAGCCAATTAATCAGCTCAAGGTTTAATTAATTAACCTGTGGTTAATGCTTGCACCCTAAAAAAATGTATCTCCAATTCCTTTCACTTCTGCGATGAGTGGTGTAGGAGCTGTTTCTGTGTGGTGTTAGCACATAAGCAAGAAGAGAGAGCGAACTGCAGTTTGAGCCTTTACCACAAAGGAAGGCATTGATAGGATGGGAAAGTTCTATGGAACTGGACCCTCCTATGTGGTCATGTGATTGATATGTGCTATCCTGCAACATGGAATCGTGCTCTTATGTGAACCTGCTACCTTCAGAGTTCTTTCTCCAGAAATCAGTGAGCTGAGAAATTCTCTTCCTAGAGAGGCTCAGTTCATTCCAAATCTCATGTGTTCTGCACAATGGTCAAATATCTTTTTTATATCATTTGCTCGGGTCTTTTAATCTGTTTTAATTCTGTTTTCTATTTAGGTTGCTCATTTGCTTTAATTCATGGTTTTTTTTAAGGGGTTGGGAAGGCTCCTTCCTCCCATTTTCTGTCATATTTTATAGCATTTGTTATATTCTATTTTATGAACTGATCTGGAAGGTGTTTTTTTTAAAAAAAACAAAACAAAACCGAAAAAAATCATATATTTTAAATAAAACAAAATAAATATATGGAATAGCTCCCAGCTCACCAGGTGCGCATGGAAGGAGATGTTTCTGTTGTGGTGTGGTTAAGCAGCCATCACACAGGTTTAATTCAAAATGTCAGTGTAGGGCCTTATCATTCCTCAACTCCAGAAAGCCCCTACAACACACCATTATCCTTAAGCAGAAACCGTACGGTAATCAATTAACTCCTGAGTCCACATACAATGGCAGAGCCTCACTGCGCCTTTGGAATAATTCATGAGAAACTTTGCAAGATCTAAAATAATGTAATTGCCTGTAAAAATCCGCTTGTTCCTCTCGCTGATTGGAAAATGAGTTTTGTGAAATGTGTGTGTGCGTGCATGTGGGGAAATCTTTTAAACACATATTTAATGGAGACATTGCAAACAAATACATAAATGTTTTTACACAGAGTTATTAAAACAAAATAGAAAAGAGCAGGAGACAGACTGTGAGACACAGATAGATGCACACTGAAAACAGTAAGCATAAAATATCCCAAAGAGATACATTTTGTGATGGCTTTCTTTTCCTCTGCCCCATAATTTTTTGAGGGTGGATGTTTTGTTTTGTTTTACTTTATAAAATTAACTAATTCCAAAACAAAAGCAAACCATTCCATACACAAAGATAAAAGCAGTGGGTTTGTTGGGGTTTTTTTACACTGAAACACGGAACAGTGTTTCTGCTTCCTGACAGTGATGTAGCATGTGAAAATTGTGCACAAAACCTCATTATTAGTGCCTTAGGTGACTGGGGCAAAGGTAGCCCTTTCACGCTGTCATTTCTCTTCTGCTTTTTCCAGACAGGAGAAGATGGGGAACCAGACTTTAAAAAAAGTTATCTGAAGTTGGTGCAAGAAAGCTTTTAGATCACAAGCAAAACGAGAGAAGAAAAATATAGATTTGAGAGAAGCAGAATCCTGAATCTGCCAAACAAAGAAAAACTAGAAATATCACCTGTGCTATGCTCTGTATGTCCAATATCACAGACTCTACCTGCTAATACCGCCTCATCTTCAGCCAATGAAGTTAACGACACATAATCCATTTTAGGCTCACTGGAAGGACAGATCGTGAAGCTGAGGCTCCAATACTTTGGCCACCTCATGAGAAAAGAAGACTCCCTGGAAAAGACCTTGATGATGGGAAAGATGGAGGGCACAAGGAGAAGGGGACGACAGAGGACGAGATGGTTGGACAGTGTTCTTGAAGCTACCAGCATGAGTTTGACCAAACTCCGGGAGGCAGTGGAAGACAGGAGTGCCTGGCATGCTCTGGTCCATGAGGTCACGAAGAGTCGGACACGACTAAACGACTAAACAACAACAACAATCCATTTTAGTCACGGAACTTCTGGGGTGGCTCCATCGGCAATGGCGGACTCCCTCTGAACTGGAGGGACTAGCTCCGCGCGAAACGGGTCTTCTCTGCTACGGCGAAGCGGGGACCCTTTTAAAAATCACAGGCGGATGAAGCCTGTGACCATGGGACTCAGCGGGCACCTTTAGCGCCCCCCCAACCCGCAAAGGAACCCACTAACGGGCTCCGAAGTGAAGAGGGGGAAGTGGCGCGGTGCTGTGAGTCAACTGCTATTTCTGTGGAGCGAAGCCGCATAGCCGTTGCTGGAGAGCGCTGCCTTTTTCCTGGGACAATTTGGATTCTAAAATAAGCACCCGTGAGTACTTAAACTTTGAACAACTGGACTTTAAATAAGGACTTGCGAGCAGAAAGGAATTGGACTTAAAAATTTATTTCAATTTGGTACTGAAACGGGAAGGTCTAAACAGGAAGTCAGCCTTCCGTTCTTTTGTAGACAGAATAAAGCAAAGACAACGTAACCTAGAGCTTAGAAAATCACCTCTAAAGGATTGGATTTCATCGTTTAAAATTGTGGAACCCCCCTTCGACAGCAGGAGAAGAAGGGGGATTTTTTTTTTTCCAGACTGTTTAAACCTGCAGAAGTGAGTTTAAAGTAAAGTAACTTTCCACCGTCCTGATCCTGGAGCGGGGTGTCAGGACTGACGTTTGAAGCTCATTGACCAGAGACAAACGTTTTTGACAGATAGCTAAAAGAAGAGAAACAGTGATTCCACTGTTTCCTTTCGCAGTTTAAAGGAACAAATATTGACAGAATATCTCAAAAAGGAAAACTTTGTTGCAAGAACAAATAGAAGTTTTCCCCCTAGAGGGAGACTGTGAAACTGTAACTAATTCCAGGGAGCCGGCAGCTGTTAAAGATTACAATCGTGGGGTTTCCAGCTGCACAGGTTAAAGTCAATGATAGATTAAGATTAAAGATCAAGATTAAAGATGTTTAAAGAAATGGAATTTTGATATTAAAAGGGAAAATTTTAACGTTATATGATATTAAGATCAAGGATTAGGTTTAAAGAAGTGGAAGTTATATATTTTAACATTTTATTAAATTAAAGATTGGGATTAAAAAAGTGGAAAAGAAACTGCTGGACAAATAATTTGGATTGGAATACAAAAGAGGGAGGTATGAGGAAGTCCAGAAAATAAGTAATCTAAAAATGGAAATGGAAAAGAGTTTTTAATTGTTATGTTTTTTGTTTTTTTGTTGTTGTTGAGTTTTGTATTACTTTTTGTGTGTGTTTCCTTTGTTGTTTAAAACTTTAATAAAAATTATTTAAAAAAATAAAAAATAAAGATTACAATCGTGGGAATAGACATTTGACCTTGCAGGACAATGCATTCAGAAGCTCTGTTGTGTGCTTTCTATAAAACAAATGCCCTACTGCAACAGTTACATGAGAAGACGAATTTGATGGCGAATTCGATTAGAAATTTTGAACAGGCAGTGGAAAACTTTGAACAGACAGTGGGAAAATATGTGGAGCCCACCCAGGAATTAAATCAGGAGTGTGTCCTGACAGAACAGGCCCAACAGGAATATGAGCTTCGGATTTGACAAATGAACTTGGAAAAAGCCAGATTTGGAAAGAAAAAGTTTGGTTTGGCTTGGAAATGGGGGCTGGATTGACCCCCCCTATGCAGGGATGTTTGGACTTTTCAAATCTGGCAATGGGCCGTGAGATGTTTGGGATTGTGGGGGCTCTTAATTTTGGAGGGTTTTTGAAACATGTTTTTAAATACCACATGGAATTTAGTGTCGAATATGGAAAAGGGGCTGATCTGTCGAGAAGGGTCAAAAATATTGCTAAGCTGGAGTTCCCACGAGCAGGAGACAAGGGAAAATACAGTTACAAATATGAAGAAGAGCTGCGGAAGGGACATGGAAGAGACTTAAGGGCCTCGGATATAAGGTTACCAGGTTAATGCGCTAGATCGATGGGATAATAAGGACTGACAAAACCCGGGACCAGGAGGAAGGGACGCTGGATGAAGATTGGATTTGTTTTTATTTCTTTTTTACTACTAGGACTGTTTTATAAAATTGATGAATGTTAGAAAAATGTTGGAATGAAATTACTCGGCTTTAGTAAAAAGGTTTAAAGAATTATGAAAGAATATTATGGTTATGAGAAGTTGGTAAGGATAAGATTTAAGTTTCAAGGTTTTTTTTATATAGAAAGATAAGATCAAAATAGTTTAAGGTAATGTAATGACAGAATATTATGAAATATGGAAAGGATTTGCTGTGATAATTAACAACTAGGATACAAAAAAATGGAGGAGGAGGTCAAAGAAAGAAGGCAATGACAGTTGAGGATTTGAGAATAATGGATTTGTTTTTAAATGTTTTTAAATGTCTGGGGTGTATTTTTGTTTTATTTTCTGTTCTTTCTTATTTTGAATTTGTATTTGTATTGTTGGAAGTGGTTTGTTTTTCTCTTTTTCTACTTGGTTTTTTTTGTGTAACTTTTTTTAAAAAAAAATTCCCAATAAATATCATTTTTAAAAACAACAACAATCCATTTTAGTCACTGTCCCATCCATTCGACTGATTCCCACATTCGTTTCCCCTAGAGTCACCATCATTTGAATGTTACCCGTTTCTACATAACAACTGTTTTCGGGCTGCACTGCAAAGCCTGCTTACTCTGGAGTAAACCACGCTGATCATATGACAACACCATGGGAGGGGTTTTTCCAACC